GTGTTTGATGTTGTGTAAGAGTCATCAGTTGTTCGACCACACAGTTGTTGTGTTACTCCTACACTGCACCCAGAAGATGTGAGTTGCTTCACACACAACATCATGAACATATATATGCACTCGGGTTTGGTTAGCTGACTGCACAGTACACACACACCCACACACACACACACACACACACACACACACACACACACACACACCCTCTGTAACCGCTGTAGTTGAATGCAGCAGTGTGTCAGTGTTTGCATGTGTGTATAAATAACCCAGAGCTGCTCGTGTATACAGCGGTGTATCATTAATATCCTCTGATTATCTCTGTGAGTGTTGAAGAGGAGCACACGCCGCTCTGCAGCCCTCCTCACAGACCCTTATTTATCAGAGCTCCACTGCAGGACAGCAGGACTCAGCCACACATCATCATCTAGGATTCATTCATTCATTCATTCATTTTCTTGTCAGCTTAGTCCCTTTATTAATCCGGGGTCACCACAGCAGAATGAACCGCCAACTTTTCCAGCAAGTTTTTACACAGTGGATGCCCTTCCAGCCGCAACCCATCTCTGGGAAACATCCACACACACATTCACACACACTAAGGACAATTTAGCCTACCCAGTTCACCTGTTCCGCATGTGTTTGGACTGTGGGGGAAACCGGAGCACCCGGAGGAAACCCACGCGAAGGCAGGGAGAACATGCAAACTCCACACAGAAACGCCAACTGAGCCGAGGCTCGAACCAACAATCCAACCACCTTCTTGCTGTGAGGTGACAGCACTACCTACTGCGCCACTGCCTCGCCATCTAGGATTTAGGTTTAATCAATAGGGTTTAGGTCTGGGCTCTGGCTGGGCCACTCAAAGGCATTCCCCGAGTTGTTGTTGTGCCGCTGCATTGATATGTTGGCGGTGTGCTTTGGGTCATTGTCCTGCTGGAAGATGAAGCGTCGCCCCAGTCTGAGGTGGAGAGCACTCTTGTGCAGGTCTTCATTCAGGATGTCTCTGTACATCGCTGCATTCATCTTTCCCTCTATCCTGACTAGTCTTCCAGTTCCTGCTGCTGAAACACATCCCCACAGCATGATGCCAACACCACCATGCTTCACTGTAGGGATGCTGTTAGCCTGCTGATGAGCGCCGCCTGCTGTTCTCCACACGTAACGCCTGGCATTCACTCCAAACAGTTCAGTTTGAGTCTCATCAGAGCAGAGAGTTTCTGATGCTCTGAGAGTCCTGCAGATGGTAAACTCCAGGCGGGGAGTGTCTTCCGTCTGGCCGCTCTACCATACAGATGACTGATTGGTGGATTGCTGCACAGATGGTTGTCCTTCTGTAAGGTTCTCCTCTCTCAACAGAAGAACGCTGGAGCTCAGACAGAGTGACCATCGGGTTATTGATCACCTCCCTGACTGAGGCCCTTCTCCCCCGATCACTCAGCTTAGATGTCCGGCCAGCTCTAGGAAGAGTCCTGCTGGTTAAACATCTTCCACTGACGGATGATGGAGGCCGCTGCGCTCATTGGAGCTTTCAGAGCAGCAGAAATGTTTCTGTCACCTTCCCCAGCCTTGTGCCTCCAGACAATCCTGTCTCAGAGCTCTACAGACAGTTCCTTTGTCTTCATGCTTGGTTTGTGCTTTGTCATGCACTGTCAACCCTGGGCCCTTATATAGACAGGTGTAGTCTTTGGTGGAGGGGTGTTGCGGACGACAGTACAGAGGGTTGGAAAGTCATGGCAGTAAGTGAAAGTGAACTGCAGATGGGGGATGAGGGCGGTTGAGGAGGGCGATCTGTAAAATGATGTGCTGGATCAGATTACAGAGATTCCGGATCCGGCGTGTTCCGCCACAAGTTAAGCCCTGGTGTAACCCCTCAACACCACTCATTACCCCTCCATTTCTTTTCTTTAAGAACTCCTCAGTGTTGTCGGCTGGCGTCTTCTGATAGAGCTGAGTTGCTGATTATGAACCGGTTCTACAGCTGACCTGCTGAAGTCCTCTACAGTGTGCTTAATCGACTCATCCAGGTGTGTGTGAATCCTCCAGCGATGTGTTTCTCCTGAAGTGGAGCTCCTCAGGGCTGTGTCCCGGCCGCTGTGCTGTCGCTCTCTGGCTTCTGATAGTATAGGGATGCAGCCTTTATACCAGGGGTGTCAAACTCAGTTCCTGGAGGCCGAAGCCCTGCACAGTTTAGTTCCAACCCTGCTCCAACACACTTACCTGTAGGTTTCAAACAAGCCTGAAGGACTCAATGAGTTTGATCAGGTGTGTTTAATTAGGGTTGGAACTAAACTGTGCAGAGCTGCGGCCCTCCAGGAACTGAGTTTGACATTCCTGCTTTATACTGTCTGATATGATATGTCTCAGTGGAGCGAGTGATGTCACTGTGAGAGGCGGGGTTAGGGGTGGGGTTAGGTGAGCATATTCAAAAGTATTGGATGCAGTTCAGCTTGCATCTGCACTGAGTCTGCAGCCAGACCCCTGTTCTTGGTTCTGTTATTAGGCAGTATAGTCAGTCAATCATCTGTTATACTGATGCGCACACACACACACACACACACATTTATCTGCCCCTCAGTCGGAGTTGCAGGAGTTTGAGAAGTGTGTTCAGCATCTGTCCTCAGATTGGTTGACAGTAAACTGCAGTGATCCTCTGCAGGCCGTCTGACTCTGTCACTCCTCATCCAGTGCTGTGCTCAGTGGTGAAGCTGCAGGTGAGGAGTGTGAGGGCTGTGTTTGATCATCCACTACAGTTCAGCAGATCTGCAAGTTCTCCATGTGCTGCACATGAGGAGAGCGTGAGCCGAGCCCTCGTCTCTTCTCCAGTGGACGTCTGCAGGTGTCTGTGTGTGTGTATGGGTCAGCACAGACGTCTGACAGGAGACCATCATCAGGATCTCATCACTCCTGTCCTGTGTGCACTTCACTGACCCCTACAGAGGGCACTTCAACACTACTGTCACACACTTCACTGAACAGCACTGAGCAGCCAATCAGATCCCTCCGCTCATCTGATCAGAGCTGCTGTAGGCTCCTCATCAGGCAGATGCAGCGTTCCTGAACTGAGGGCTGATCCTCCTCTGCATCACCTGTGTGCGTGTGTGTGTGTGTTTCACACCTGAGCTCAACACTTCACACATGAACATGCTCATTTCACACTCCTGAAGCTCCTGTTTCTGTCTTGTGTTGTTGTTTAGTGTGTTGTGTTCATCCTCGACTCCTGCTGCCTGTGCTCATCATGCTGCTCAGTGTGTGTGTGTGTGTGTGTGTGTGTGTGTGTGTGTGTGTGTGTGTGTCTCTGAATAAGTGTGTGTGTGAGTGTGTGTGTTTTCTCAGTACCCATACTGTAGATCCAAAGACATGCATACTTAAAACACACACACACACACAGAGTGTCTCCTGGATGGCCTACATCACATCATCAAATAAACTGTCAAACGATGCTGTTCATGTGTGCCCAAGGTTTACTGCTTTCAACTCTCTCTTTTCTCTCTGTTTGAGTCTCAGCTCTCATTCAAGCTTTCATTCTCCAGTTCCCTGGATCGAATAGCATGAAATGTCAGCCAGGCTGTGATGTCTGTGTGTGTGCGCACTCTTTATAAGTGCCGTAGTTGAGTCTCAAAAATCAATGCTGTATTTACATTCTGATG